GAGAGAGGGAGTGTGGTGTGTGTGTGTGGCCAGCTCAGCCCACCAGGGGGCGGGGCTGGCTGGCATGTGGTACTGGGGGATCGAACCGCGGTCCCTGATGCTTTGCCAAGCTTGTTCTAAGTAGGTGCCTTAGACCACTGAGCCATCTCTCCAGCCCCAATTCCTTTTTTTTTTAAATGTATTTTGTAGTGGGTCTACAGGGTCTCACTACACAGATCGGACTTCTAGTGATCCTCCTGTTTTCAAGCACTGGGATTAAAGACGTGCGCCACCTTGCCCAGTCTCAATTGCTGTCTCAGTGTACGGAGGTGGGAGGGGTGGGGGGTGGCAGCACAGCACCCCAGGATTCAAACCCCGGGTCCCTGTGTCGGCTGCATCTAAACAGATGTTTTAATCCACTGAGCTGACTGGCTGGCCCATATAATCATATAATTCAATAAATTCTGACAAAAAAAAATTCTGACAAATCATCCCTTAAATCGTGTGGCCAGCTAAGAGAGTAGCTCAGTGATCAAGCACCTGCCCAGCACCCATTTCTTTTCTTTTCTTTCTTTCTTTCTTTCTTTCTTTCTTTCTTTCTTTCTTTCTTTCTTTTTTTAATGTATTTAGTACAGGGTCTACAGGGTCTCATTACTAGATCGAACACATAGTGATACTTCTGTTTACAGACTCCCAAGAGCTGGGATTAGAGGCATGGGTCACCACACCCAGTCTCAATCACAGTCTCAGTGCACCCGGGGCCAGCACGGCATGTTGGGGATTCTAGAACCCCCAGCCCCTGAGTCTGCTTAAGCAGGTGCTCCCCAGCACCCATTTCTTTTTTTATTTTATTTATTTATTTATTTATTTATTTATTTATTTATTGGGGTGTGTGTGTGGCCAGCTCAGCCCACTATAGGGGGCGGGGCTGGCTGGCATGTAGTGCTGGGAGATTGAACCGCGGTCCCTGAGCTTTGCTGAGCTTGTTCCAAGTAGGTGCTTTAGACCACTGAGCCATCTCACCAGCCCCCAGCACCCATTTCTAACACCACAAAACAAACAAACCCTGTTAGGTTCATATGCAAAAACAAACAGAAATCTGCTACTTTATCCTTTCTCTCTCTAGCTATGTTGTAGTTTAGTTCCACGTAGTTACTTGCCCAGAGGATGGAGAAAGTCCCTAGGCCTAGAGGGAGAAGCTGTCTGGCTGCCAGGAGACCCTACCTGCTGGGCTTCAAGAGCCCCGCCCAATGACTCACAGCTGCCCTGTGTGAATAGGGCAAGACTGGAGAGGAAACATGAGTCCAGGACTATGTCACTGGGGCACCAGTGCACCTTGGTGTCTCCCAGACCCTGGCTCCAAGGGCAGGCAGCTGCCATGCGGGTGCCTCAGCCCCAGGGAGACACACAGGGCCAGGGTGACACCTTCCATCCGTGTTGCCACCTCCCTGTCTCGTGAAAGCAGGCTGGGAGTGCAGCCCCTGGCCCAGGTTGGGCCTCTGGACCACCTGGCATTGGTGGACATCCTGATGTTGTTGTAGGCAGCTGAATTAGATAGAAATATTAAAGGCAGGCAGGGTCAGGCTCTCAAGGAGAGAAGATGGAAGACAAGGTGACTTTGCAACTGGAAGAGACAGACACTCCAGCATGGGCCAGACCTCAAGATAAAAGAAAAACACAGCTACATACTTCCCTAGAGGGGCCGGGGAGATAGCTCAGCAGAACAGGCGCTTGCCTGGCAAGTGCAAGGTCCTGAGTTCAATCCCTGGTAATGTAAAAAAAAAAAAAAAAAGAAAGAAAGAAAGAAAGAAAGAAAGAAAGAAAGAAAGAAAGATACTTCCCTAAGGATAGGCATCAGGGATTGATATTCTACATAGGTATCAATCACCTTGAAAGAGCCCAAATGAGTCACTAGCCCAACCCCCAACAGGAAGAGACCCTGGCCCATATTCATGCCCACTTCCTACATGACTCGTTTCTTCAAGTGGTACTGGATTTAATCAATTTTACCTGAGCAATGGTGCTTGTAATCTCATTGGTTGACCATAGTTTTGTCCCACCTTATGCCCACCTAAGCAAGTTCCCATGTTCTCCACCACCTTAGACCCGCCTCACAATAATTTTACTCTACGTTTTCCTTGGAAAACACAGCTTCCAGGGGACCACCCGCTCGGGAGCCCCCTCTTGTCCCTCTCTTGGAAAGAAGCTTTCTTTCCCCCAGTAAATATATTCTGCTCATAACCTCTATTTGTTCCTAAAATTCATTATTCAGTTTTAGAGAACACGAACTCATCCCAGGTAACTTTCAAGTTGGGAGTTTCATTTTTCCCCTATATCATTTGGAGGTCATCCACCGACATCATTTCTCCCCTGGGTCAATGTCACCTCAGGGGAGACTGCAGGGCAGACACACACCCCCCACACACTTGCTTGGAACTCTTGACCCACAGAAACTATGGTGATAAATATTTATTGTTGTCTCAAAGTATAAAGTTTTTGGGTCATTTGGGACAGGACAGGAAAAAATATAGTGTACAATGCTTGCGAATATTTCTAGGTTCTACTTCTTTTTTTTTTCCAGAACCCATATTCTCATGCATTCTGGATAACAGTACCTCTAATCCACATCTCCACCCTAATTTTGAGATTGGGAGCCATCCTCACTCCCAGCGAGGAACATATATCACTCTGGAAACAGGGTGCACCCAACAGTCATTCTGCCCAACACCAGGCCACAGAAGGGTGCATCATGCCTGCAGCCGAAAGGACAAGGGGCGGAATTGCTCGGTAATGGCAATTTTTAAGAATAACTTGGAAAAATGTAAGCTGATTTTGACGTCTTCTTGAAATCCTTAGACAGGGTGGTAGACTCTGGAACAAAAGAATTCTGTATTATCCTTAGGATAGATATTGTTCTGATACCTTTATTAGCATGAGCACTTTAAAAAGTCAATTGGAAGGGCTGGTGAGATGGCTCAGTGGTCTAAAGCACCTACTTAGAACAAGCTTAGCAAAGCACAGGGACCACGGTTCAATCCCCCAGCACCACATGCCAGCCAGCCCCCCCGCCCGCCCCCCCCCCGTGGGCTGAGCTGACCACACACATACACACACAAATTAAAAAAAAAAAAAAAAAAAGTCAATTGGAAGAGTGCTGAAGCACTTCCAAGAATCCAAAGGAGATATGTGCCTTCTCCTGGAGAGTGACATACCAGGACGGTAGAGGAGATCGTGTGAGGTGCTGTGCACTCGCTGTGTGCTGCAACAACAAGGATAACCATGAAAGCAGGTGTGCTGGCACAGGCTTGCAAGCCCAGCACCCAGTGGAGGCTGGGCTCCCTGTGAGCCTGAGGCCAGCTTGGCCTTCGTAGGGAGTTCAGTGCATTCTGATCTAGGCCAAATTACATGAGACCGTGACTGAAAACAAAAAAAAAATTTGAGCTGGAAATGGTATTGCATGCCTGTAGTCCTTTTGCAGGCAGCCGAGTTAGATAGAAATATTATAGGCAGTCAAACAGGGCCAGGCCCTCCAAGGAAATACCATAGAAGACAAGATATCTTGTAACACTGAGAGGGGTGGATGCTCCCGCCATGGGTCAGACCCAAAGACCAAAGATCAACCAAGTGCTGACCTCCCTAAAGATTGGCATCCGAGATTGATCATCACCCTAAGGGAGACCCAAGAATCATTAATCCAACTACTACTGGATGGCTACCTCATATAATCCTGTTCTACATTCATGCCCACTTGCTATGTGACTCCCTTCCCCATTTGGTCCTGGACTTAATCAATTTTACCTGAGCAAAGGTGCTTGTAATCCCATTGGTTGACCATAGTTTTGTCCCCCTTCTGGCCACCTAAGTGAGTTTCCATTCTCTCTACCTTAGCCCCACATGGCTTTACACTGTAAAAGCCCCTGGAAGAGACAGCTTCCCAGGGAACAAGCCGCTCTGGCCCCCCTCCTGTCCCTCTCTTGGACAGATTTCTTTCCCTCAATAAATATGTTCTGCTCATAACCTCCATTTGTTCCTAAAATTCATTCTTTGGTTTTAGGAACACGAACTCATCCAGGTCAGGTCAGGAGATGATTTTTTTCCCGATGTCATTTGGAGGTTCTCTGTATTGTTTGGAGGACACTTACCCGAGATCAGTTTTTCTTTCTGTTTCAGTCCCAGCACTCTGAAGGCTGAGGCAGGGTTGCTATGAGTTTGGGGCCAGCATGGGATACACACTGAGTTCACAGCCAGCCTGAACTACACAGTGAGACCCTGTCTTCACACAAACAAACAAACAAAAACATGACAACAATCACAAGTCAGGTATGATGGCATATGCCTATAATCCCAGCACTCTGGAAGCCTGAGGCAGGAAAATCTGAAAATCAAGCCCAAGATGGACAGTTTAGCAACTTAGCAAAATATTGGGTTAAAAAAAAAAAAAAAAACCCACAGCTGGGGGTGTAGCTCATCGGTAAAGTGTGTGTTTAGCACATGGAATGTCCTGGAGATAGACACACAGATTGACAGATTCACATTTGGGACTATTTCTGTTGGAGACTATTCATCTAAAATAGCTGCTGAGGGGGCTGGGGAGATGGCTCAGTAGAATAAGCGCTTCCCTGGCAAGTGCAAAGGCCTGAGTTCAATCCCCAGTTCCGCCAAATAAATAAATAA